TCAACTATGTACTGGGGGTGTGAGAGGCATCCGCATATCCTATATTGGAACTTAAATCCTTCAGATCTTGGAAATATTACCTCAGATTCATGAAAAGAACTTCCCTCATCGCAGTTTGATGGCCACGAGCCATCATTGCGGTTTGGCCACAGCCCATGAATGCTGAAATCTTCGGCAGGCTTCCCAGTGGTTGGATAGCAGCAACTACGCTTTGTGTCGCAGTATGAAGCAGGCCACTGCATCCAAGAAATTCACACATGGAACCTATTAAAGATAGTATACGTTGTACAAGATCAACTAAAAAAATAAGAGAATTTGGCAATTGGAGGAAGAGACAGATTACAAATATGGCTATGGTTCACCTGTTGAACGAGGTAGAAGAAATCAAAATCGTTCTGGGCAACAGTTAAAACTGCTAAACATTGCAAAACCAAAAGGCTGAGAAATGCTGCACTTTTCAGTTTCATCCTCGTTTGCCTTGCAAGTTACTACAACTTAGCTGAACTTGATTTCTTCGAAGACTAGACTACTTGGGGATTGAACAATGCAAGACTCTGCTATTGGCTAGATACATAGCAGCATATATTTATAGGCAAGGATTGCACAGCCTTGAAAGGAATATGCGGATTGCGGAATAAATAATATACGCCAACGTACCTAACTTACTGACGTGGACATTGCTTACGTGGCTAGCGAAAGTCCATTCCATTCTGATAGTATCACGTGCTTATGGACATTTAGAGGTGAGTATATACGGACTTGTTTACGTATACATATACAATTCAGGGCTCTAGTGATTAGTAGCCTTTCTTTGCATTAATAAACATGATAATTAATTAAGATGCTAAACCTTTGGCTTCATATGTAATTATGAAATGTAGAAAGAGTTTCATGGCGGAGATTGGCATGGCGTTTTTGACTTTCTGCTGGTGGTGGTCCTAAGCTGCAATATCCAAGGATTGATTTCGTTAGTAATTACCACTGTATTTTATATTGAGGTTGAGGTCCCGTAAACAACAAAAAAAAAAAAATCCCACAAGATAAGCAGCCCTTTAGGTAATCTCATTTTTTTTTCTGTGTTAATGTCTCATCAGAATAACTTAATTTGTAGGATAAGAATGGCCAGCCAGTGATGAATCAGCCATTTGTAGAATTGGTGTCCATTTGCAGTATGGAGACGAGAGGACACAACGTCTCTGGTTAACAGCTTTGAGTTTCCTTGACTGAAAATTTAAAATGAGAGTACACGTTTTAGAACGAAAAATTAACCTATTGATACGAAGAATGAACAAGTGGTATACTAAAGCCCTATTGACAATTAAAGAAATCAATTTTGTTACAATAATAGTTGTGGTATGAAAGTTTGTTCTCTTTTGGTAGATAGGAGTTGTTGGGTTCAATGGAGCTCCTTCAGATTAAACCTAACCACAACAGTTGAAATGGCAGAATAGGGATAAGGTAAAAATTCTAGCCTGAAATGTTTATGTAATGCGCTTTGTAATCTTTTTCGTGTGACGTATCTGATCTGCCACTTCACCCCAATCGCATAAAATATTGATGTCGCTACCCAATCTTTATACAAATTCATTGAATTAGACATTAATATTATGTCCTTCGATTAGATTGATGAATATTTTCTAGTACAAATTTCAGCGATGCGTTAGGATCCCCATGAGTTTCAATAGAAGAACCATGAAATTATTAACAATAAAAAGCCAAACATTTTAAGGTTAGCTCCTCAGCCTGGTGACATTTCGCGGTTGTTAGAACGATGGGAACTGGACACCGGAGGAGCACTTCCCAGTTTGCATGACAGGACACTCAATTATGTTTGAAGCAGAAGCATCGACACAGATGTAGATTTGGTACAGCTGACTGTTCCCAGATCCATCGGTGTTGCATTCAATCCGTGGGGTGGAACCAACTGCGCTCTTGATTGCATTTTTAATGCTACTCAAGCTGTAAGATCCCCCGTCTGCCTGGATTCCTGCAAAATGTACATATTCATTTCACAATCAATCAATGTATGTGTATGTCAGAGCTTGTTTGAAAGGCAACGTTAAGTATGAGAGTCCAATGTTTTGATTAGTCTAGAGGAGCGGTACCTGCGCTTTGAAGAATTTGGAGGAGATCAAGATTATCTTTGAGATCAAGTGCTGATTTGAAGTAGCCATGTTGGTCTAGGATGGATTCGGAACATGTTCCATGTTTGTCCCACTCGTGTGACCAAAATGTGGTGCCACCGCTGCTTGGGCAGGCAAGTGATGGCCAATCCTGTTCCATTCTGCTCACAAGATCTGATATCTGTAACATTAATTTAATCCCACGAACCAACATTAGAGACAATCAAGACTCGAGTAATTGTGCCAAGCAAGCGTATCGATATGACCTGAGGATTGTCAATAGAGTAGTAGAATCAATAATAGCGTATCCCCACTCCTTAATTAGGCTTAAAATCGGGGAGTTTTTGTTGCTTAATTTCCTCATAATTAAGTGAACTTTTTTCTAGCTTTCAATTTGATTACCTTGGATATATCGAAAGGGTTGCTGGAGTCACAATTTGATGGGTAAGAGCCATCATTATTCGTCGGCCAGAGACCATGAATCCCAAAGTCTGATGCTGGTTTCCCATTCGAGGGATAGCAACAACCTTGATCTGTATCGCAATATGATCCTGGCCACTGCATAAAAATGTATAGAATTAGCGTGCTTTTAGCCAAATTATTGAAGTCCAGTGTGATTCATATATTGGCACATGATATAAGCCTCACCTGCTGAACAAAATAAAAGAAATCAAAATCTTGTGCAACGCAGAAAGCTAAGAGAAACTGTACAAGGAAGAGCTTGGTTAGGACTGAAATATTGAGTTGCACTTCCATTTCTACTGATTTACTATCTGTATTGTTAAAGTTTTCCAATTATGGTGGTCCCATTTATAGCCAGCAAAAGAATACAAGCTTTATGTGTGAAATGAGGCTATTGACTGATATGTTTCTGCTTGGCAGTTTGCTTCGTGTCTTTCTCATTCAGACAGAAGAACTGGAAAGTTCTTCCGATTATATGCGGATATTCCTTATCTATTGCACGAATAACCAAAGGAGTTTGGTCTATCTATTTTGATTGATGTCGTTTGACTGATGCTAGGAAGAGGTCTCCCCTCTGATTGAGATTGCTTGTGGAACGAGTTGCTGTACAATTTTTAGACAAGTTGGAACATGCCAAGAAGCACGAGAAGTTGTGTGGAGCTGACTTCAAAGCAGGACTAGCGCCAAGTCTGGCCTGTAAAACCAGCGTCCATCATGTTTCCAGAGGATAACCGGTCCAGAGACTAGGAGTTCATTCTATTTTAATTTATGTACGTTTGACCGATATTAGGAGGAGGTCTCCTTTCCCATTGAGATTGCTTGCTCAACATGTTTGTTTACTACTTACTTTGATCACTGATTCCTAAAAAGGGGGATGCGGTATTCAACGAAGCCGTTTTAGAAAAGCATAGAAGCTTTCCCCTGTAGTGTATTCCATTAGTTCAACTTCCGGCCAGTGGCAATGACCCTGATGAAATTCAAATGCATAGCTTAGTCCTTGTCGTACAAGAGGGTACAAGGTTCATAGTCCTTGTCGTACAAGAGGGTACAAGGTTCATGTGTGAAAATGATGGAGAAGATTGACTTGTTTCCGCTTTGGTTGTTTCGTTTTGTGATGTCTAAAATGTTGTTCCTGTACGTGGAAAACTGCAACTTCTATTCGTATCACAGAAAGATCCTGGCCACTGAACCAGGAGCAGGGAGAAGCTTTAGAGAAGTCAGAGAGGTCTAAGAAAAAAGCAAGGGTGAATGAAGCAGCTTCGTAAACTTCTAGTTTGTAATTAAGATTTTAGAATGAAGATGATAACTCAAGTTACTTGCCTGTTGAACAAGGTAGAAGAAATCGAAATCCCGTGCAACACATTCTAGTAGCGTGCATTGCAGTTTGGCAATATAAATCACACAAAAAAAAAAAATATGGGTCTGACTTCCATGCTTGTAGAATATCGAAGTTATCTGCAAATTGCTGAAGCTGAACATCTTTGGAAGATTTATATGATGGAAAGAACTGTCAATTTCTTTTGGGTTATGATACTTAAAAACATTACCTATGATTCAGATCGCCAAGTCTGATCTCTAGTTATTACTTAATCCATTTCAGTCACTGCATTCACAAACCTTTGCCATGTTTCATATGACAATTTGGTGCTCAGTCATTAGACATTGAATCATTAAGCAGGTGGCTTATTTTATCATGCTCTCATTGCACTCCATCATGTAAGCGATGATAAATTTTACTTTCAGTGCTGTGCCTTGTTTAACTGAAGTACTATATTAAAACGCACTTTCGGTATCTTAGTAATTATTAGGACAATAGTTCTTGCTGAAGACTTGGATGCTATTTTCCTTTATTTTACAATTTCCCAAGAATCAAACCTCCGACCTCGCACACTTTCTGAGGGTGATGTCCAGCTACCTACTGGAATCACACTACATGATGAAGAAATTTGAAACTCTTTATACGAGTATCTTGCCTCCTGGGCTTTAATACTCTGGCTAAAATTCGAGTTGTTTTATAGCTGGAAACCTGAGTCATTGCCACAATATATATTTATAGTAATCCATTGGATTTGAATAAATCCAGAATCCCCTAGCTTTTGATTGGCCTCAATTTTCTGATAGATGAACTAGTTATCACCAGGACTTGGATTGAGCACACTATAACGTGAGTCACATGTAGAGCTCAGGTTTTGCATTCCTCCAATACGGAATCCAGAGTCCACTAGTATTTCATTATTCCCAAAGAAAGGAGAATCAGATATAGTACCACTATAAACAATTGGGCTAATTGATCTTCAAAGGACACTGAGCTACTGCATATTCAACGTCTTTTGCCTAGAAAGCGCTAGTCCCAAATAACTCGAGATTTGGTTAGTGAATCAAGGGATTATTGAGGAAACAGGGAGCACATGAAAGTGGACATGTCTTTTGTTATAAGACAAAAATAGCTGTCACTGCATGACAATAATGCATTCACTGAGCTTGATTTGTAGTAAGAGTACAAGTTCATCATGAGTCAGCAAATGCGTGTTTAGAACCCCACTTATTCTACTCCAATTATTAGACATGATATTCCCCACCAAGAGGTGGAAAGCAAAAAAAGATTATTAATCTAATCTCCATTAGGGTCCCTAAATGATAGGAAATTCTATGGAGGTATTGCATGCTCTCTTAAGAGTCACCGGACACTCAATGAGATCTGAACCAGCAGCATCCACACAAAGATAAACCTGGTAGAGCTGGATATTGCCTGAGGCATTAGTATTGCATTCAATTACTGGAATGTAACCTGTTCCTGCTTTTATAGCTTCTTTAATGTCATCTAACTTGTAAAGCTTCCCATCTGGTTGAATCCCTGCAGCAGAAGATTATACCTCTAGCTTGTCAAAAAACACACACACACACAATGGTAAATTTTAACTGCAAAAGTTTGACAGCAAACTATACAACTAGCTAAACTGAATACCTGCATTCTTTAGTATTTGAAGGATATTGACTTTGTCCTTGATACTAAGAGCTGCTGCAAAGTAACCATGCTGGTCAAGTACAGGCAATGCACAGGTTCCATGTTTTGTCCATTCATGCGTCCAAAACTTGGTCGTGGTACTTTTCTTTCCACAATTGAAATTCGGCCAAGTCTTTTGCATTTCGCTGATTAAATCTGAGATCTGAATACGCAAGAATATGATTCACACCCTCATCAGAAAAAGGCTTGCAGACTCCATAGAGTTGTTAGTGAATCAGTTTCTTTGCAGACACAACTACATGTGACCAAAAACCAGCTTCTTGTACATACTCCTCTTAGGAGAAGCCAATGGCAGGTTTTTCAATCATCATTCAATTCGTGCATTATCTGCATACATTCATAATATATGTGCGCATGCAGAACCAAAGAATTGATCGGGTCGAGATATTTCTAGATGTACCTTGGTCTCATTGTAGTGGCTATTAGGATTGCAGTCTTCTGGAAAGGTAACATTGTTGAAAACCGGCCAGAGGCCATGAATGGTGAAGTCTGTGGGCTTTCCTGCGGCTGGATAGCAGCAAGTTCTCTTTGTGTCGCAATATGCTCCAGGCCACTGAATTGACATTGCAAAGAAGAAAAAAAAAATTGCTGTTTTAGAACTTAGGCAAATTGTTAGAAGTGAAGAAGGACATCGATAATTTTCAACTCAAGAAGACCCACCATTTGGACAAAGAAGAGAAAATCGTGGCTCTGAACTAGGCATAAATAGCACAGGCATTGCAGCACTAAAAGGTGAAAAGAGATTAAGCTGCTGAATTGCATGCTTATAAAGGAATGCAAAGAATATGTTATCCAACAAATTGGTAGAGATAGTAGTGCTGCTATCTTGGCTGTTGAAGTCGCTATTTAAAGATGAAATAGTGTGATGATATTAATAATTTATTTGAACCAAGATTAGTTGGGGTGGTAAGTTTGGTGGGTGAACTTCAATCAGTTCTGAATGTGTCTCTAATATGAAAAGTTTAATAGCTCGAGACATGCAAGTGAAACATAATTGACGAGTAATTTATCCAAAAAAAAAAAAAAAAATCCAGAGAGAGTAATCTATTGTGGGAGATCTTTGGATGGTTCAATCTACTGATTCTCCATCAGGATCAATTAACAGATTCTATGGCCGGTAGTAAATGATCATATCATCTTTGTTCTTTTGTTTGCCCACATGTCATTGTGATAATAATAAGTTTGTGGTCCAATAGAAGTTTGTCAGTCTCCATCTATAATTGGTGATGTAGCCAGTCAGTATTAAGATTGTAAAACAAGACCGGTTAAAACTTAGGCCACGCTTGGATTGCGATTTTCCTTAGAAAACGTATTCGTGAACACATTTCCCTATCACCTTTTTACCTCACATATATCAAATCGCTACAGTAATTTTTCTACAAAAAATCCAGAAAAATGCAATCAGTAACGCTCAATCATTGAGATGAACCTGAACTGCAACGTTCATCAGCAAAGTGAAAAAAGACATAGATATAATAATCAGTCAACATAATGCAATCTTGAAAGTTAGCAATTGAGATCGTTGATAGATATAATAAAGCGATTGTAAGATATAGTAATCCCAGATTTTCACTTTATTTGAGGTGAGAAGAAGAGGCTGTGACAATTGAACATACGAGAAAATGTGGCCTTGCAACTATACAGCCGACATTCCCTTATTGAATTTCATGTGTACCTACCACAATGCTTGGATTTGCTTTCATTGCGATAAAACTTGAAATTGCAGTCGTTGAATCAAAGGAACTCATCCCAGTAGAAATATCTATTTCTGTTTTTCAGTGTTTATTAGAAAAGAGAGCAGAATCAAAGGTGTAAATAAATGAGCTAACAAGATATGCCAGCATCTTTAAATTTTGAACCCAACACTCAATTGCTGTACGTTCAACATCTTCCCCTAAAATGCAAATCCAAGCAAATGGATAAATAACGAAACAGGAAATACATTAAAAAAAAAAAAGCGCTCCCTTCTTTTATTGTAGGAGAAAAATAGCTTCACAGCCTGACAGACAATGCATAAAGTCAACTTTACTAGTACAATTTCACCATAAGTCAAAAACAGCGGTTTTACAACCCCACTTATTCTTCCCGAACAAGATGTGGACAGAAAATTATTAACCCAATCTCTGTCGTGGTCCCTAAAGCATAGGAAGCTCTATGGATGTATCCCTCTTAAGGGTCACTGGACACTCAATGAGGTATGAACCAGCTGCATCCACACAAAGATAAACATGGTAAAGCTGGATATTGCCTGAGGCATCAGTATTGCATTCAATCACTGGATTGTATCCTGTTCCAGCTTTTATGGCTTCTTTAATGTCATCTAACTTGTAAAACTTCCCATCCGGTTGAATCCCTGCGGCAGGTGGTTCACCCTACCTTGTCAATATTATTAATTTAACCAATGATTTTTAACTGCAATTTATCAACAGCAAATACTGAATGATCTGGCAAATATATATATGCCTACCTGCATTCTTAAGTATTTCAAGAAGATTTACTTTGTCCTTGATATTGAGAGCTGCTTTAAAGTATGCATGCTGATCAAGAACATCTTCTGAACAGGTACCATGTTTTGTCCATTCATGCGACCAGAATTTGGCACTGCTACTTTTCCTCCCACATTTGAAGGTTGGCCAGGTCTTCTCCAATTTAGTTGTTAAATCTGAGACCTAAACACAAAGAACAATGACTCTAGGGAGTTCTATACCTGATGAAAGTTGACACTACTTCATTTTAAGTTATTATTGATTCCTTGGAATCTGTTAATTCATAGCGTAGAGCAGCCAAGTGGTACTGAAGAAGAAATCGTGACTCTGAACCAGGCAAATATATGACAGACATTGCAGCACCAAAAGGTGAAGAAAGACTAAGCTACTGAATTGCATGCTTGTAGGAATGCAAAAAATTATCCAACAACAACTCGATAGTGGAGATAGTAGTGCTGCTATATTGGTTGCTGGAGGGACTATTTATAGCTGAAATGAGAGTATCCAAAAGAAGCCGACGTAGCAAGACGTGTGAAAATATGACTAGCAATTTTTTGTAACCAAGATTACTTGGTCATTTGTTTGGTGGGCAACCTTCAATTAGTTGTAAATACGTCTAATGTAAAGAATTAAATGGCTCGAGACATGCTAATGAACCACTGATACAACGTTGAGTATGCGAGTAATATATCAATTCTTTTTGTTTTATTCAATTATTTGTTCTTAGCCGGAAGAAGTAATCCACCGTTGAAGATCTTCAGAATAGCATATATAAGTAATAAGTTAATTAAGACGATCGAAATGGTAAATCGATGGGATTGTAAACTCTTAGAAATTAGAGGAGACAATTATGTGCTTGATATGGTTATTCTACTTTGCCCATTGCATTTTGTATTTTCTTGGGTATTAACAAAATCTTCCCCACCCAAAAAGAAAAGAAAAAACAAAGGAAATTTTCTAGAATAGGAAGTTTTCTTACAGAATCACTAGCACAAATATATGTGAAATTGACTGGCACAAATATCTACTTCTCACCGAGTCTCCTTCGTTCCAAATTTGCATGTGAAATATAGGATACCGACCAATCTAACTTCCATTTTTTGTACTATTGTTTATGACTGTTCAATCTGTTGATATGTTTGGCTGGTAGTAAAAAAAACATGCCATCTTTGTTCTTTTATTTGGCTATACATATGTCAGATTTGTTTGATCACAATAAATTTGTGGTCCAATAGAAGTTTGTCACCTTCGAAAATCAATAGTCCTCTCATTGTGACAAAGCCAATCAGATTTAAGATTCTTGAAACCGGACCGGTGAAAACTTATCTATCCCAATCATTGAGATGAAACCAGAACTGTAATTTGCAACAGAAAAATGGGGAAAAGAGAAAACCACAATGAATTTAGTTGCATTACAACAGTTAGTGACAGAAATTGACTGATGGATAGCTCTTGTAAGAAAATATTAGTCCCAGATTTGAGTTTCATTCCCACTGATGGATAGCTCTTGCAGATGACTCATTAATATTTTGTAAGGCAGACACCAAGCATGCAGAGGAGCTAAGGAGAATCCTGGAGGCCTATGAAAGGAGCTCGGGACAGGTGATCAACCTTGAGAAGTCTTCTGTCTTCTTCAGCAAAAACATGGAACATAGCAAAAAACTAGAAGTATGCTGCAGATTGGGAAATATCCAAATGGTCAACCAAGGCAAGTACCTGGGTCTTCCAATGGTGATAACAAGAACGAAGGACCAAATCTTTGGTTTCATCAGAGACAATATGAACAAGAATTTGGGAAGCTGGAAGCAGAAGTTATTAAGCCAAGCAGGGAAGGAGGTCTTATTAAAAGCTGTGACTCAAGCAATGCCTACATATGCTATGTCATGCTTCAAATTGCCTCTGAAACTATGCAAGGAACTGAGTGCAATGATGGCAAGGTACTGGTGGGGAGACAATGATGGAAAGGATAAGATGCATTTATGCTCATGGAAGAGAATAACTCAAGCAAAGAACCAGGGAGGACTTGGTTTCAAAGATTTGGTCAACTTCAACAGAGCTTTGCTAGGCAAACAGATATGGAGAATGCTTGTTAATCCAAATCTGCTTGCCTCCAAGGTCCTGAAAGCCAAATACTATCCTACTGGTTCCATTTTCAAGAGCAAGTGTCCTCAGAATGCTTCCTGGATCTGGCAGAGCCTAAGGGGAGCTACGCAGCAGGTGGAGGAAGGCACCTGGAAGAAAATTGGAAATGGCCTTAGCACTGATATTTGGGAGGATAAGTGGATAGTAGGAAACAAAGAGGGAAGACCCTCAACAACTAAACCTCCAGAATGCAAAGTGCAGAAAGTTCAGGACTTAATCACTCATAAGAGATGGAATAGAGTGGTAGTGCTCCGAACGTTCAATGGAAGGGATGCAGAAAAGATCTTAAGCATTCCCATCAGCTTAGCAGGAAAGGAAGATAGCAATTTCTGGATACATTCTCCAACGGGGCAATACACAGTGAACACGGGCTACAAGGTTCTAATGAAAGAAAAGGAAATCCAGGAAAGGAATGGTTATGATGGAGCAGGTACAAGCCGACACAGTTCATCAAAGCAGATGTGGACTTGCCTTTGGAAATTAAACATCAAGCACAAACTGAAGACCTTCATGTGGAAATGCATAAACAATGCTCTCCCAGTCAATGAAGTAATCTTTAGTAGAACGCAAAAAGGAGATCCCATCTGTAAAGTCTGTGGGGAGGGGGTGGAAACTGTGGACCATGCGCTCTTGAACTGCAGACAGGCCAAGCAAGTATGGCAGATAGCTCCAGTGCAATGGGAGGGGGCTAGGGAGAAACAAGGCTGTTTCAAGGACTGGTGGAATGAAATTGCAGGAGCCAGATCTAGACAGGCTGGTGATGAACATCTGGGTCTAACGGTGAATATCTTATGGCAAATATGGAAAAGTAGGAATGAGTGGGAATTCAACAACAACCAAAGGAATGCCTTGAAAACAATTCAGAAAGCTCAAGAGGAGTGGATAGAGTTTTGTGAAGTGTACAAAGACAAAGAGCAGTTGAGCACAGTAGAAACAGCTGCAAACCAGTTTCAAAGAGTAGAAGTAGAGGATGCAGAGGTGGTCCAAGTGAAGATTGCAGCTCTAAGGAACCCGAACAGTAACGAGGTGGGAATAGGGGTGACTGCTATGTCAAAAGGAAATGTGGTGGTGGCGGCTTGGGCAATGCATGAAAGAAGCTACAACTGTCCACAATTGGACGAAGCTGAGGCTATCAAGCTAGCTATGAGTAAGTTAGTAGTCAAAGGCTGGAGGAAAGTCATCATACAGAGCTGCAACAAGCAACTCATTCAGCAAATCTGTTCCGGAAGAGCTTCCAATATCAAACTGTATACTCTA